CCTTTGGCTTAGTTCATGGTTTCTTCTAGTTCAACAAAAGATGATTTTCTCTGGTGTATACGTAGCTTTAGCTCCTAATGATGGCTTTCTGCTGTACACTGGTGGTCCTCTGAGGCTGTTTGTTTTAGCATCTTGTGCTGACGGGTACATTTGGTGATAGCTTTGGAATACTAATGCTAATGCTGGTTCTCACAAAGCTTGGCTTTTGAAAAATGCTTTAGACCATTCAGTACCCCTCTACCATGCTGAGTGACAAGAGGGCAGAAAGGCCATGCTCAGTAATTTTTTTTATGCAAAGTAAGCAGCCCACAGGAATGGCGGCTCTTTGCTTCACATCCTTCTGCCCAGGCTTCTTATAAAGCTGTAGCCATCTATTTGCATAAATATCAGGCCTGTCCCTTGTTACAGTCTTTGTTACATAAATGCTATCAAAGGAAATGGAGGGAGAACAGATTTGAACATCTTGCATTCCGCTCTTAGAAAAAAGTGTGATTGTATAACTAATGCACATTATTTTCTTTTTGGTTTTATTAGTGTAACCCTTCTGCCAGGCCGAGTTGATAGCAGCAAGGGCCGGGTTCAGTACATAGGGGTCCCCTCCCAACAGCGTGACACAAAACCAGCTCGAGCCCCCACCAGTGACCTGGGAAAATCTTGCACACCCCTGGGCGCCTCGAAGAGGCAATACTTCCCCTCTCGCAAGCACAGAGCCTCGGTGTAGCAGAAAATGTTTAATAACATGAGGTAAACGACGTAGCATTAAATTGGGAAAACACCACAAGTAGAGTTCATAGACCAAACCATGAGCGAAGACCCACCCCAGCAAATTGGGCCGTGTCCTTTCCCGTTGGTTCTTGGGTCCAGCAACCCAAGAATCACCAAAGTCCCAAAAGTCCAACAACCCCAAAGTCTCTTGGGTCCAGCAACGCAAGAATCACCAAAGTCCCAAAAGTCCAACAGCCCCCAAAGTCTCTGTCCCTGGTCAGTGCAGCCTCAGAGTTCAAAGAGGGGGGGCACGCAGGGTGTTAAGGGGCCCCTTATGTGATCCGAGGCCGACCGGCCGCTTCTCTGTGGGGTTCACCGCCGCAGCCTTCACCACAAGCCGCTCCACTCCACCAGCCGTCCCGTGAGCCGCTCCTGCCGTCCCACGAACTGCTCTGCTCTACCAGCTGCTCAGCTCCGCTCACCGACCTGTGAGCCGCTCCGCTCGCCGTTCCTTGGGCTGCTCCAACCATCCCCGCAAGGCTCCGCTCTGCTAGCTGCTCCTCCAGCCGTCCCCACAAACTGCTCCGCCAGCCGCTTAGCAATATAGCTTCAGGCTCCCCCACTAGTTAACACAGCACTCAGTGAGCTCAGCTCTTAGTAACTTTAGCTCTTTTGTAATTTCAGCTCTTAGTGATTTCAGCTAGTAGTAGGGGAGCCCCAGTGCTGGTGCACTATTGGCCCGAAGTGAATTCAGCTCAGCAGCCTGTAACTAGACTTCTATTAGAATCAAAGTTAGCTCTGACATTCAACAGTGGAGAGGGGAAGAGATGCAATTGGTGTTTCAGGCTCACAAAAGGAGCCCACACCACCAGGTACAAATACTTGCCCCCAACCTCTCTCAATTCACTGGGTTTTGTAACCCATGCCCCTTGTCAAGCAAGTGCTACTTAGTTAATGGTGAGTTCTTCTGTCATACAACAGTTCCACTGGCCTTGATTCACAGAATCAGGGTAACAAAACTTTATTCTTCCTGCCCCAATAACAGAGAAACTGGGGATCCCACACCAGCCAAAGTAACCACTTTCAGTTGCTGTTGTCTCATGCCAGGCAGGTGGGTGTGCCTATGCAAACAAGATCAGCCCCTGGAGTTCTTTTCCACACTCGCCATAATTCACCACCAGATGTCAGGGTAGAGCTCATCCTGACTCTGCTTACATTAGATTTCCTTTCCCCTCAGTCCCCATTCCCATTTCTTGTTTCAGAGTCGCTGTTCCCCCTAGCCTGTAGAGGGACATCAGCAATAGATACCTTGGAGCAATAGCACTTGCAGTATTCTCTGCAGGAGAACCCTTCTACATTATTATGACCAGTGATTGATTTGCTTCGGGTTATTGTTCTCTTCCATTAACCACTCGGCACAGTCACTCCTCATCACCCATTTCATGACAGAGACATGAGAACTTCGCTGCCACTATATTTCTGATAATTAGCTTGACTTGCCCAAATCTCCTGTAGGTTAATGCATGATTGGTATATGCTGTACATACCAGTTACCAGTCTGCAGGGAAGGAGTTCACACAGTCACCAATAGAAGGGGAGACAGTCCATAAACTAATCTTGCTATTAAAATGTGGTCCACACAGTTAAAAGCTTAGGAACTATTCGTCAATCTACCATATGTAGGTGTTATGCCTCCACTTCAGTCTCATGCATATAGGTAATATTAGAGTAACAAATAAAGAGAACCATTTCAACTAGGGCTGTCGATTAATGGCAGTTAACTCATACGATTAACTAAAAAAAAAATCGCAAAATTAACAAAATTAACCATGATGAATCGCAGTTTTAATTGCACTGTTAAACAATAGAATACCAATTGAAATTTATTAAATATTTTTGGATGTTTTTTTACATTTTCAAATATATCTATTTCAATTACAACACAGAATATAAAGTGGACAGTACTCACATTATATAATTTTTATTTCAAATATTTGCACTGTAAAAATTATAAACAAAAAAAATAGCATTTTTCAATTCACCTCATACAAGTACTGTAGTGTGATCTCCTTATCATGAAAGTGCAACTTACAAATATAGATTATTTTTGTTACATAATTGCACTCAAAAATATAACAATGTAAAACTTTAGAGCCTACAAGTCCACTCAGTCCTACTTCTTGTTCAGCCAATCGCTAAGACAGACAAGTTTGTTTACATTTGCGGGAGATAATGCTGCCAGCTTCTTATTTACAATGTATCTGAAAGTGAGAACAGGCGTTAGCATGGCATTGTTGTAGCCGGCATCACAGTATATTTACATGCCAGATGCACTAAAGATTCGTATGCCTCTTCATGCTTCGGCCACCGTTCCAGAGGACATACGTCCATGCTGAGGATGCTTGTTAAAAAATAAATGTGTTAATTAAATTTGTGACTGAACTCCTTGGGGGAGAACTGTATGTCTCCTGCTCTGTGTTTTACCGCATTCTGCCATATATTTCATGTTATACCAGTCTAGGATGATGACCCAGCACATGCTGTTCATTTGAAGAACACGTTCACTGCAAATTTGACAAAGGTACCAGTGTGAAATTTCTAAAGATAGCTACAACCTAAGAAGCTGAAGTGCCTTCCAAAATCTGAGAGGGATGAGATGTGGAGCATGTTTTCAGAACTCTTAAAGGAGCAACACTCTGATGCAGAAAACTACAGAACCCAAACCACCTTCTGCTGGTGGCATCTGACTCAGATAATGAAAATGAACATGTGTCAGTCAGCACTGCTTTGGATCGTTACCGAGCAGAACTCGTCATCAACATGGAGGTATGTCCTCTGGAAAGGTGGTTGAATCATGAAGGGACATATGAACCTTTAGCACATCTGGCATATAAATATCTTGCGACGCTGGCTACAACAGTGCCATGCGAATGCCTGTTCTCACTTTCAGGTGACATTGTAAACAAGAAGCAGGCAGCATTATCTTCTGAAAATGTTTTCTGAGCAATTAGCTGAACAAGAAGTAGGACAGATTGGACTTGTAGGCTCTAAACTTTTACATTGTTTTATATTTGAATGCAGTTTTTTTGTACATAATTCTACATTTGTAAGTTCAACTTTCATGATAAAGAGATTGCACTACAGTACTTGTATTAGGTGACTTGAAAAATATTATTTCTTTTGTTTTCTACAGTGCAAATATTTGTAATAAAAATAAATATAAAATGAGCACTGTACACTTTGTATTCTGTGTTGCAATTGAAATCAGTATATTTGAAAATGTAGAAAATATCCAAAAATATTTAAATAAATGGTATTCTTTTAACAGTGTGATTAATTACACGATTAATCGCGTTCAGTTTTTTAAATTGTGATTAATTTTTTTAATCGCTTGACAGCCCTAATTTCAACTAAATAGCTAAATTAGCCAAGTGATTTATTGAGCTGTCTGGGGTCTCTGCTTATATACACCTCTCTTCACACACAACTTCAACAGAGCGAAATTGGCAATGTCTCCACTGACCTCCAACCAGCTGTCACTTGGTATTAGCCCAACCTGCTTCTATGTAGTCAGGGAGATTTCAGGGACTACATCATAGAGATTCCCTCATGCGTTTGAGTGGTTACAAGTAATTTTTGCCTGAATGACATTCGACTTTTGAATACCATGATGTTTGTACTACTTCCTATTACTAAGCAGATACATCTTCACTAAGTATATAAAATCTTCTGATACTTGCCCTCAGGCCCCTTGAATACTCTAACTCGGTGGGAAATGCTAATGGCAAGGTGATAGAATAGAATTCCATTGTGTAAATTCTATGCACAAAGCCGGGTGGCACAAATTAAAACAAAAACATAGAACGAACAAGCCAGATATCCATTTTGATCCTGACCATTTTGTTTGTTGGTTGTATCACTTTCTCCCAATTCTTTGCTTTTTTTTGCCCTTCAGACTGTAAACTCTTTGGGGCAGGGACTGTCTCTTTCTACACAGGAATGTAAAGTGCCTAGCCCATTTTGAGTAGTCTAAATACTAGTTTGTTTTCTGTAAGGTTCTTTTATTTATGGCTATATTTACCTCTAGATATTGCTGACTATTTTAGGCCAGCTTGATATAGAAAAATCACTGTAACTGACTGTATTAGAGGGATAAGTGGCATTCAGCCACCTGAGATTGAGCAATGACTGAATAATGTATTTCTCCTTCATAACCTACATAAATCACGACACAATACGAGGAATTGCTAAATAATTTTTAAAACCTAATACAGATTTTGTTTTTATACTGTTAGGTGAACTTTCTGTTGAAGACAATCAGGACCCTTTCCTTGTTAGTATACATATCATCGCAGACCCTGGTGAATCCAAAGTTCTCCAGCAAGCCATTGATAAACTGTTAGCATGGATCCATCCAGACCTCCAGTTGTTCCGAGTCTCAGAAAGACGGGTCTCAAGGAAGCACAGGAAGTCTGGTAAGACTGCTGTTTCTCAGCCAGCCCTTGCAGTCATTCTGTTTCTGCAGGAGGAATATGGAGAAGAACCAATCTTACAGCTCCATGAAACCTTTCAGAGACCACCTTGGCATTACCACCATACAGAACGAGTGCAAGGCAAGTTCCTCCCTTACATGCCATGCAGTCAGGACTTCTTCACTTTGGCCCATGGGACCCCTTTATGGGCCATCCGCCCAGTGCATTATGGGAGAGAAATTATCCGCTTTGCCATATACTGCAGGAATGAAAACTTTATTGACATTATGAAATTGTACCAGTTAATCCTGAAAAGACCGGTGTGTCAGAAAAAGGCGGACTTTTGTGTCTTTCCTGTCTATTCTAACATGGATATAGACATTCAGTTCTCTTTAAAAAGACTCCCTAAGGGCCAGATTCCAACCCCTACAGAGTCAGCGGTGCTGGAATTCCGAGTAGAAGATGTTGGACAGCTTGTTCCTCTCTTGCCCAATCCTTGTAGCCCAATCAGTGAAGGCAGGTGGCAAACAGAAGACCATGATGGGAATAAGATCCTCTTGCAGGTATTCTCTAACATCTCTAATTTTGTATGTGATGAAACAGAAACATATTTGCTGATTTGTACAAGAATGCTAATTTGTCCCAGAACAGCAAATAAAGGGTGGGGCTTCCATAACAATATCCTGGTAGGCAGACCCAAGAAAATACTGCTAAAAAGAGAGCTTATAAAATCTTTGTGCATGTAAAAATATATAAATCAATACAGCTGTAGGTGATACCATGATGTTCATATATCCCTTAGCCCCATGTTAGGCAAAGAAGAGACTGAGATAAGCCAAGTGTGGAAAAGGGAAAGATTGTGAACTGATAGCTAAAGGTGCACGTTTTTTGCAGTTTTTATAAGAAACATGAATACCCAGACCACACATTTTTATAAAATAGCTATTAGTGACTAGCTCTTTATTAGAGGTAAACAAAATTTTAGATGGTACAAATTATTTTCTTACATATGTATTAAAACACTGGGTGACCAACTGCACCTCAATAGATGGCCCAGGAATCTTCTTGTTCTGCAAAATAGCTATCAGACCCAGAAAAATGGAGAAAGAAGCAGAGAAGCAACCTGAGCTGTTTAGGAGACATGCTCCCTGCAATCTGCCTTCTCAATCTTATCTCAAGCTGCATGTACTCGTAGACAGAGTCTGTGGAGAGTTTGGTCAATAGGAGGGGAAAGGTCGTGAAAGGCACAGTACCCATACTGTATCTAAGGCTGCTTAGAGTCACTTCAACATATGCAAGTGAGTTAAATAGAATAACAAATAACAAGCTTTCCAAAAATGCACTCTTCATCAGGATACAGTAACTCCTCACTTAAAGTCGCCCTGGTTAACATGGTTATGTCGCTGATCAGTTAGGGAACATGCTCGTTTAAAGTTGTGCAATGCTCTCTTCTAACGTCGTTTGGCAGCTACCTGCTTTGTCCACTGCTTGCAGGAAGAGCAGCCCATTGCAGCTAGCGGGTGGGGGCTTGGAACCAGGGTGGACTGGCAGCCCCCTATCAGCTCCCCGCTCCCCTAAGTTCCCTGTGCTGCAGCCGCCCAGCAGGCTAGCAATCAGCAGTTCAGCTGTCCCTCCCCCGACTGCCATGTGCTGCTCCTGCCGTCTGCCTTGGAGCTGCCCCCCGAGCCTCCTGCTTGCTGTGCAGGGGAGGGGGAAAAGGGGGGGCTAATGTCAGGGTGTCCCCCTCCCCCCTGCACCCCACTTACCCCTTCTCCATATAGAGCAGGGAGGGGACACGGATGGAGAGAGACAGAGGCTAGGTCTACACTACTCGCCTGAATTGGCGGGTAGAAATCGATCTCTCGGGGATCGAATTATCGCGTCTCGTCGGGACGCAACAATCAATCCCCGAATCGACGTGCTTACTCCACCAGCGGAGGTAGGAGTAAGCGCTGTTGACGGGGAGCCGCGGAGGTCAATTTTGCCGCTGTCCTCACAGCGGGGTAAGTCGGCTGCGATACGTCGAATTCAGCTACGCTATTCGCGTAGCTGAATTTGCGTATCTTAAATCGACCCCCCCCCCCCCCCCGCAGTGAAGACCTGCCCAGAGAGAGCTCGCGGTTCGGGCGTGTATATCTATATAATATATAGTTTTTTGTCTGGTGAAAAAAAATTCCCTGGAACCTAAACACCCCCCCCCCCATTTACATTAATTCTTATGGGAAAATTGGATTCGCTTAACATCGTTTTGCTTAAAGTCGCATTTTTCAGGAACATAACTACAATCTTAAGTGAGGAGTTACTGTACATACAACAGGTATGTTACTCCACAGTTACATTAATGTACATTGTGGCTTTTTGCTTAACCATGTGCCTCAAAGCCACTGTTTTACTGAAGAGGTTTTCTGAGGCTTAACCTTTTATTCTTAAATATTTATATTTCTGCTCAATAAAAATAGCCCCCACCCACTATTAATTTGCACTTTATTTTTAAAAATCCATGGGACAGATGATCCCCTAAATCCACATGCTATTAATGCTAATAGGGCTAAGTATGTGTGTCAAGGAAAGTTAGACCCTCACATTTAGAAGAATGTCATCATTCTGATTTTAAAGTGGGGAGGTTGACAGTGAATTTTCTTTGTGAAAGGTGCCCCTGCTACTGAAGTCCTCTATCTACAGAACAGGCACCATAGGTTTGATCCTTTTGCTTGGTGGAACTCAGGATGCTGACAGTTGTGGGAAGTTCTGCTTGAACTTGCTGAGCACCCATATCTCCTTCTGTCCTCTGCACACTTCTGCAGAGTTGGGTGTGCGCAGACCATCTCTGCAATGTAGCGGCTGTGTGCCCGTAGCTCTTCTCACTGGCAAGATCACCACACCGCGCACCTCGCTATTGCAGATCCCACCTAGGCGGTAGCTCTACCCCTTGCTCCACTGGCAGCAACGGCACTGCCCCATATAGGTGCCTCAAGTCTGACTGCAGCTGAGAAGGCAATTTGCTTTTCCTGACCATCCAGTCCTTGGCCTTTCTGCTGAGACTGCCACTAATTTTAGTTGTTGGACTGGTTTTTGTGACGTGGACTGGATAGGCACTAGGTTGGGATAACCAGTTCATTTCAAAATGGCCACAAACCACCTTGATGTGGTAACCACTTGTGATCACCTTCACTTACTGCTTTTCTTCTATAGACTAAAGGGTCCATATCCCATTAGTAATCTCTTGAACAGTGAAATTCTCTCTGATTCCAGTTTTTAATAGTGCATCTTCCAACTACAATAATTTACAGCATAATGACACTGAATGAAAAATTTTTTAATGTCTTTGCTTAGGGTACTGTACAGGGATTTAAACATTCCATGGCTATTGCCACAGTATCCGTATTAATTTTCACCTCCCATCAGAATGACATTCTAATATTTTTCAGCTTGCATATAGGTTTGTGTTATTAATAACAAGAATATTTTTGATTGCTACATACTCAGATTGATTATCTCCACATGCCAAAAGTATCACTTATACCCACCAATAATAAATCTATACTTCAGAGCAATAAGAAAGCATTTAATGTGACTGGGATTTTAATATACTTCAGCAATGTGACCTATGTGTATCTTGTGGTATACTTACAGGGGTTGGGACTCCTGCCAACCAGTACGATTGCTCCATCCTCTTAACCCGTTCTGCAAATGCAATTATCAGGGAGCTTAGATTAAGTAAGAGCAAGAAAAAAAACGTATGAATGGATGAGTCTGGCATTTGATATCCTTTGTTTGCAAAGATAACACCCTCCAAAAATGTTTTGTTGTGGCATCTTTGCTTTGTCTGCTTCCTCAAATTAACTCAAACAGCCTGATCTTATTCCAGCTGAAGTCAAGGGTAGATATGTTGTTGGATTTAGTGTGAGCAAGATTGTCTATGATCAGTACTGGTTCTGTCATTATTTTCATATGTTGAATTTTTACAATGTATGTAGTAGTTCAGTAAATAACTGTCAAGCATTTCAGTGTAACTCCCAGAAGTAAATCTGTGAGTGCAGAGGTAGTCCACCTATGTAAATGAAGGCATTCTGTATGACCCTGATAAATATGTACAGTACAAAATATTTAAAGACAAGAAGAATTAAGGTTGCTGAGCTAAATGAATATCAAATAAGTCGTACTATATAAAAAGGGATCAAAAGCTTGTATATGACAATTTATTTGTTAATCCAGTAAAAGGTTTGCCTTTATCTATCTTGCTTGTGTTCTTCAAAACCAGCATAGCTACAAACACTTTGAGATAAATAGCAGAGTGCATTTCCATTTTCAAAGTCTGAGCAATTACAGTTAAAAGGACAAAAGGGAAACTAACTAGAAATCAAAGGAGGTGTAAAGGAAATAGAAAGTCAAGGACAGCCCCCCAAAAAGGTGGGGATGTGCGACTTCTGCCGAACAAAACTAAAGGATGGTGATTAAAGAAAAATATGAGACATCTTAAATTAATGGTGCAAGTGGATAGAACAAATTTGATGAACAGTAAAAGGAAAGGAAGGCAAGGAGGGATTTTGACTGGACAGAAGGACAAAAAGAATAGCCTTTACAAAAGTTTCCTTTAATTTCTTAGTGTGCTGAAAATTAGAGAAACAAGGTGGGTGAGGTCATATCTTTTATTGGACCAGCTTCTGCTGGTTAAAAAGACAAGCTTTCAAGCTATGCAGGGCTCTTCTTCAGGTCTAAGAAAGGTACTCAGAGCATCACAGCTAAGTACAAGGTGGAACAGATTGTTTAGCATAAATAGTTAACACATATTTCAAGGGACCATTCAAGGTGAAGTGTCCTCTTAACACTCCTGCACTCATAAAACAAAAAAGGGGATTAGTGGCTTATAGATTGTTGTACTAAGCCATAAATCCAGTGTCTTTAGATTTTTTGTATCTAGTAAAGTTATGAATTTAAGCTTCCAGACTCATCTTTTGTATAGGTTTCCTTTGAGGACAAGGACTGAGAGGTCATATATGGAGTGATCATTTTGTGAAAAGTGTTCCCCCATAGGTGATGTGGTATTTTTATCTTTTATCGTTTTTCTGAGTGAGTTCATTCGAAAGCATAGTGATTGTCTGGTTTCACCCTCATCATTTTTATTGGGGAATTTAGTGCACTGGATGAGGTACACCACATCTTGTGATAGGCATGTGTTGGACATGTTGCTGAAAACGACAGACCGTGTGTATAATAGTGGACTCAATAAGACATGTCTAATTACAGATATAAGAACCTAACTTTTGCCTCCTGTTTTTAAAAATTTTGGCCTCTGTGTTTCTCCTGCAAGATGTGCTCTGCCTTTTCTGCCTTAGATGTTTGTGGGTTCTCTAGTATCAGTGATGGTTTTAATAGAAACACACAATCCTAAACGGAGGTCTTGGAAGCTAAGTAAAACAGGAAATGATCTTTCAGCCATTCTGTCCTTCACCATGAGTGAGAGACAACCTCTTTTATATCTTTTTATTTAAAAAATTATCTTAAATAGAATATCAATATATCCAATGCCATTTTAAACATAACATACAGTCAAAAAAAGCCAGTGTACATATATAATGTTATAAGATTCCCATTGTGATGACTGGGACTACAAATTTACTGTAATTGTGAGCTCAGCTGTAAAAAGTGAGTGAAAGTTTATAAAATGTCACAATAATCTATAACAACAAATGTTGATGGGGAAAGGTGCAAAAGGGAGACAGACTTTGAATTAGTCCAAACGAAGAGGCCTACTAATATAACTCAAGGATCATGCCTGGTAAACAAGAAAAGTGTGGGATCAAAAATCAATGGACCAATATTGGTGTGTTGGGAATTAAGCCTAATTAGTAAACAAAATAATGAGGGGATGGGCTATTCCATCACACACACACACCACTGCTTTTTGGGGTTCTTGAAAAGAAAAGACTTTGGGGGGATTGCGGATGGATGTGGATGCTGGCTGATTGAAAGACGAGGAAGGAGTGAGCTTCACCATCATGGCTGTCACCCCTGCCATCTCCTGGAACCCCGGGATCTACCATGACACTGTTCAGCCTTAGTTGCCCTGATCTTGAGAGATGTCCTGACCAGACTGGGTCAGAGAGAGAGAGAGTGGGATCCTGATGATGTCACCTCCTCCACTGGCTCTGGCTAAATCCCAACCATCAACTAGGATGTGAGATTTTGTCATCCCTGCCCATGTGTGTCCTTTTCCTTCACTTTGTTCTCTTTCATATCCCTCTCTTTTCTTCTTGTCTAATAAGAGTCTGCCTTAGCCAGCCAAGACTGGACATTTTGCAACATTGCTGAAACTCTGTGACCAGAGAGGAAACTAAAAGCAATGCTCTAAGTAGCTTCGTGCTGATACGAGTTTGCCAGATCTCAGAGAGGCTAATAAGAAGACTAAATGCCATGCCTGTGTTTTGCCAGTGAGGTTGCAAGTGAAAGTCAACCAGAGACAGAAGCTGCATTTTCTATATTTGCTATTCTTTTCTCTCCCCTTTTGTGTGTATTTGTCTTGTTTTGTCTTCTAGGAAACTGGATCAAACTTCCAACAACAATAGCAATAACATCTCCAGTTCATCTCAGCTAACCTCTTCTCCCTCTCCCCCTCCCTCTCAAAAAGGGACAGTTATTACTATCTTTAATACTTTACATGTCAAATGCTGAACTGTTTCCTTCTTTTCTGTATCTTTAATAAAGGATTTAACAGATTTGTAATAATGTGTTTGCCATGGTACTAAGCAGGCAGAGATCTCTGACAAGGTCATTTTAACACCTTTGACTCTTTGGGTCCATATATTCCATCGAAGTTAATACAACAGCCCATCTAGCAGAGTAAGATACTAATTGGTGTGAGGAAGGGTGTCAAAATCTGGCCCTTAGATCTTTGTAGTCGGGACTGTCCCTTATCTGGTTTGTACAGGGCCCTGGTCTCAGTTGAGGCCTCTAGGAACTACTGAAATAAAAATAATGAGTAATAAGAGAAATCTTTTTTTTTAAAGGTGGAAATTTCCTTTCTTCGGTCAACAAGCAAAAAGTTAACTAGCAGCCCTGGATTCTTCTCATCAGATGTAGGAGGCCCTAATAACGTAGACTCTGTAGATCTCTGTAACTTTCACCAAAACTTGTTTCCTTGATTTCTGAATGTTTGACTAAATATCCTCCAAAAATTCTGTTTTGATGTGGAGAGATTGTAATTTCCCATAGACTGCATGAAGATTTGTGAAGACTACAGTGAGCATGGGTAACAGACCAAGCATTAGGTTTTAAAAATATATTATTTTTTTATTATAAAGCTAATCTGTTCAATCAACAATTGTTCTCTCATGGGTATTCATGTGGACAGATATATCATCCTCTCTATTTGGAATTTCAATAAAAATCAACCTTTTTGGTGTTCTAGGGGCTGCACAAGTGGCGTGTCAGTTTGTACACAGAGCTTTTGTTCTGTCAGATGGCTGATCCTTTTCCAGTGTAGCTGGAGCTTTTGTTTCTAACACAAGCAGCACAGATATACCAGACAGTGCTTTGTCAGTCTGCAGTGAGGTAATGGGCATTGCAAAAAGCAAACTGTAAGGAGGCTGAAGGAAAAAAAAAGTATGAGATTTTGCTTCTGAAGTCAGACAAAAGATTTGCCCCACGTGGGGAATATACAGGCATTATGCTAAAAAGAACAGCTGAGATGTACATGTCATTTACTTTAACAGATAAAAACAAGTGTTTTTCTATGTTTCTCTGTCCAAGATCAGAGTAGCAGAGGAAGTTCAGTCTCTCTCGCTCATGTTTCATGTCTCATTTTGGTCCATCACATTCTGAAAATGGGTTCCAATTCTTTTATTATTTTTTAAATTTTTATATACATTTAATTGGTAAAAGCAAAGAGGAACAGCAGACTGCCTAGCTCTCTGTATACAGTAGTTGACTAGTAAGTAGAGGCATGGTGTAGTGGCCTCAACACAGGACTGAGACCCAATTTCCCCTGAGTTTTAATCCAGGCTAAAATATGGTTTCCCTCTGTGATCTCCAGCAAATCAGAGAATTTAGAGATGGAAAAGTCCTATTCATTTATCTAATCCAGCTCTCTACCAATAGAGGAGTATCCACTAATCTACATTTGCTAGTGTTTTCTCCGGTCTGGTATAAAATGTGCCAAGAGATGGAATTTTCACTACTTCACTTGGGAGATTATTATACAGTCTAATAATACATCTCACTGCTAGGATGGTTTTCCATGATGTGGGATAAAGGGCTTCTGAAAGTGTTCTAGCAAATATTGCACTTGCCCATATAATTTAAGATGGTATTTGAAAATGTGACCCATAAATTATAGGTCATCTCATTACAAATATTTTTACATAAAGAAACTGTGGTGCAGGGATATAATAACTTGCCAAAGACATCACAGTGCAAGAGTAGAATCCATATCTCCTTTGGATTTCCAGTCCTTTGCATTATCCATAAGACCATCGTCTTTGCCAATGTTAGATCTGTCCCCCAAAGCATTTTTTAGCTCTTCTAGTACAAGTCATTTGACTTGATAACTGTATTTGTGATCTAATGTTACAAAGGCCCCAGTCCAGGAATCCACAAATAAGGACTCTTAACACCTGCAGGGGGTCCCATTGAGTCTAGCTTCAGTTTCTACTGGTGCATGTTTTGTCTAAATATTTATCAACTATTTATTTTTTTAATTACTTAATCCATCTGTTTGCCATGCAGTTTATCTCACAGTAGAACAAATCTGCAGAGAAAATCAGAACCATTAGTGAGTGTAAAGTGTATTCATATAGTGGACAACGATATAACAAAATAATTTCCTGTACAAACACAGGAAGTGATGAGATAATTTGTTTGTGTCCTTGAAAATGAAATACTGCATTCTGTAGGCTATCCAGAAATGTCTTCAAATACAAATTGATGCTTTTTTCATCAATACACACCTATTAACAGCCTCTGCATAATTTCTAAAATAACTTTTCTTGCCTTCTGCATAAATAAAAATAATATAGCTCCAAAGTCATCTCTGGTAAAACTTCATTGACTACCATTCAATTTGAGCCATTCTGTTTGATTCTTTTGAAATCTTGATCCCTTATCTATTAATGAAGCTGGTACAGTACTGTAGCTAATTTTATTCAAAGATTCAGTTAGTTCTATGTGGCATTAAGAAGAATAGCCTATTACATTATGGATGGATGGATTATGATGGATGAAAAGATGGATTATGAATTACCATAGCTTCATGTGTTAGTGTTAGTCTTTAAGGTGCCACCAGACTCCTTGTTGTTTTTATTCATCTACAATACATAAGAGAACTCAACAGGATTTATGTCCCATAACGCACCCTTGGCATGGACAGTTACAAATGAGCAAACAATTTTTTGCAGATGTGAAAGTACCTTGTTACCTCTACAATCAATGTAATAGATAATGAAAGATTGAAACAGCACATCTTTGCCACTAAGACCATTGGGGTGTGCAGTAGTGAGAAATGAGCAACAACAATGCTTGGAGGTTGTCTAGGCATTAAAGTAACAGTAGGTTGCTATCTGCACTAAATTCCAGTTGTTACCATTTTAAAATTCTTAAAACGTAGCTAGTAATATCATTTAAAATATAAACAATGAAGCTATTTGCTGAATAAGTCTGCAAGCTGTCAAGTAATGGATGTGGAAGCTTGAGAAGTGAGATACTTTCTCAGTTCTGGTACAGTATTTGAACCATGCTGTGTTAAGTCATGAGGTGGAGGACAATAAATAAGGTATTGGCTTATTTGGGCCTAATTTCTCACTTTGGATGTGTGTGAAGCTCCTGCTGCAGTCTGTGGGAATTGCATGTAAGCGTATCTGGGGGCAAAATTTGGTATTTTGCATCATGTGAGAAATTCCAGTAAAGCTTTCAAAAGAAGTGATTTAAATACAAACTGTTGAAGCCATATTGAAATAACTAATATGAGGAGAAGGATCCAGGAAGTTATTAACCATTCAAAAAAGGTTTGCTAGGAGTAGGGGGGATGGGCGGGAGTGGGGGGAGAAGGGTCCCTTGCTCAGACAATAGATCTTGGAGATGTTAAAAGAGAAGGGTGATGTGTTTTTCAAAGAGTGGGAGATATGGTTTTGACTGACACTAAGAATTGGAGTGTTTCAGGGTAATATTAGGGCAAGGCTATAGGTGACAGTGGTGGCATTAGTGCCCTTCTATCATTAGAATTGAGATTGGAAGGCTGGGGAGAAAGGGCTGTTGATGACCATGAAGTTCTTCTTCAAGTGATGGTCCCTATTGTATTCCACCAAGGGGATTCAAAATCTGGGCTTCCTGCCCTCGCTTGTTTTCCATCAGTGACGAGCACCGGTGCTGTTTGTACTGTTTGGGGAAATCCCACATCACGTCAAGGTGCAGTATCTTCCTCTCCTTCCCTGTCCGTACATGGGAAAGCTGAGCTCTTTGCCTCAAAAATCACCTCATGGAGGCTGCAATGGGGCCAAAATCGGATCCTGGCCAGGGAATCCCCCCTGTCCATCAGCCTGAGCAACCTAAGAGCGCTCCCCCACCACGGAAACTCCATCTGGCTCTGCCAGTACCAGTGCTACCGACCCAATGCAGGGACCTAGCCATGAGTCATGGAAGCATGCGCATAAGCATGGCCATAAGTCTTCCTCCAAGTCCAAGAAGGACATTGCCCTGTCAACGAATTCCAGCCATGGAGGAACGAGTTGTTCCAAGGCTCACAAGAGTGAAAAAAGGTAGGCAGGAAGCACAGATTTTGAATCCCCTCAGTGGAATACAGATAAGGATCACGCATCTCAGAGAACCTCCAGTTACAGGTAAGTAACCTGCCCTTTTCATTCCTAGAAAATATAAGGTAGGGGATGAGCTGGATGGAGAGAGAAGTAGAAGCGTTGGTGAGTTCCAGAGAAAAAGAGGGAGAATGAGATTTCTGGGTTTACGTCAGCGGTCAAAATCAAAAGGAAGAACGTAGCAAACTTCTCACCACCCTTAGTGAAGAAATGAATGGAGAAAGAACAGTAACAGTGGTTGGCATTTACACTATTCATCTTCAACTTCCTTTACTAAAAGAAGAAATGCTGGAAGTAGAGTATGAATGAAGTCATATAATAATCTATATTAGTTAAAAAGTCCATGCTGGTTGAACTTGTAGAATACCAATAAACAGTTTCTCTTTGATTTATTTAACCTTTTAAGTAAAACCCAATCAATATATTAAAATTCAGAATGAGAAAAACTCTGGGATTTTGTGATAAAAAGGAAAACCTGGTGAGCTGGAGTAACTTGCTCCTCTCACCCATCCAATTTTGCCCTGAGCTTCAACACACAAGCTTCAGAGATTTTTTTTATGTCAATTTCCTATAGTTTTGTTTTTTCACATACTATGTAAGTATGTAATCAATCAATCCAGGCTTTTACTGAATGTCCGATGAGACATTACTTGTTTTTTAAGAGCCAGGTTTTTTTAAATTGGAATAAAATTAGATGCCTTTCCAAAGGGTCTTTCTGAGCTCAGCCTTTTGAAATCTCATATAGAATACTATAGTTCTTAAAAATATTACATAGAGAATTCTCAGAGCACATCTGAAAATTTTGCTACAGTCCTATAGTCTTAAAATTTCACCTGTCTTCCGAGAGATGAGTGTCTTTCTCAGGATTTCACTGTTGTTTCATGGAATTCACCCTCTGAGGCAGGACAGTTTTAAGGCTCCAGGCCTATTCACTTTTGTTTTCCTCCAAGGACCCTTATATAAATATTTGGATTTTGGCACAGTGCTTTCTCTTTATTATTAAAGTGAAATATTTACTGTGACTGTACTGAGTGACAGTCTGCTTTATAGTTACATGCAGTAACAGTTCAACAATGGAGACTTACAGTTGTAAAATTGCCAAGTCTGAGTTAATGTGGTCTTTCCTCTTTTCTTTCCCCCCTCCCGCAGCAGGCACGTATTTGGTATAGGAAGTCTGCTAAGCAGAACAAGCTTCATTTCCCATCTTCAAGGGATTCCCGTTTCACTCCTTCACCAAGCTACATTCCTCACAGTCACAGACTTGCCCCTAATCAAACTAGTGAGCATCTGAACTCAGCTGGTCAAATCAAGCTGCATCGGGCAAATGGCCTTGGACAGTACCTTGGCATCTCCCAGCAGGACTTGAGAAATGGTGACCGAGGAGACTTCACCCGAAGATCCAGTAGTGCCTCCAGCATTTCATGGTCATTTCAGCGAAGCAAGTCTCTGTTCTGCTTGCCCACAACAAGCTCCACTCCGGCCTCTGACTCCTTTAACTTTAGTGAACTGTTTCAGAATTTAAATACTGGGTCACCTGTGAACAGGTTAAAAACATGGAGATGCAGCCCCAAGCTTAACATTGAGGACTTGGAGGGTTCACAGGAGACTGATGTTGACACAGGGATGAAGCTGTCCTTCTCAGATCTGTCTGTGGTCTCAGCCTACTCTACCTTTAATGGATTTTGCAGTGATTTGGAAGCTACTCTTCCCTCACAAAGGCAAAGTGTCAGTATATCTAAACAGGCTGTCTCCAGGGGAAGGCCGTTGTCAGCCATGTGCAGTACCCTTGAGCTCCCTAGTGGTTCACTTCCATCTCTCTCCGAGTGGTCTTCCAGCTCTTTCTTGTCATCTTCCGCATCCCCCTTAGCATCTCACTGCCAACTCAGACAGTCACCAAGAGCAACCCCTTGTTCTTTGAATGATAGGAAAACAACTGGCAGCATTCATCCAGGCTCTCCAACCAACGAGGAGGAATTCTACATCTGAGCTTTCTCCATGCTGAACCTTTTAATGTAAATTTGTGCGTATGTGAATTACAGCAGTGCATTTCCACCATCTGAGCCATCTGGGCTGGCAAGTTCCTTGCTCCTTCCTGAGGGGAGGGTGTTACATCACTAAATGTTGTAAATGTTGTAAAAGGTTCCCACACACCACTGTAATGGGTGCCTCATAAATGTGTATTATAATATCAGGTGAGATTGTGTCCACTGGATTCATGTGGAGGGGAACCTTGATGTGTAGCTGTGCAGGTAGGAGGTTTGTGCTCAGTGTCCTTCAGCTCTGGCGAAGGGGGTTTGGGAGACTGACCCTTAGCATGTAGAGCAGGAAGTGCCCAGGGATGCACATGGTAACCCACCTTCCCCTGACAAGTATCGTAAAGATGCTGAAAAGAAAATACAACCTCAAGCTGCATTAACTTTTCTGAGAAGCTCTCTCCACGCTGGCGAACCCTTCCCCACCTCCTTTATGAGATGCCAGAGGCAGCTATGAAAAGGGCAGACCCTAGCAACATGACTCCAGTAGAGCCAGACAAAGAGGCTGAGGGCCCCAGAACCATTGTAGAGGCACAAGCCTCCAGCTGATCTTTGAGAATCTGCAGAATCGGGGAGAGAACATCCTGTTTGCTCCATGGGGAAGAAGGAACCCGCACCACATCCCCAATTTGATGGACCGGTTTTGGGAAAATGCCATGAGGGGAACCTTGAGGAGCTTTTCTCCCCATCTCTCCCCCCTTCCTCCCCCCCCCCCCCCAAGTCAAAAGTGTTTTTCATCATATGGGAAGGGAGCAGGGTGACCCACTGTTAAAAATGCACTGCAGCTCCCTATTTTTAGGGGTTTATTTTGGTTGTAAAAAATTCACCTCATACATAAACATAGTATTGGTGGTCCCAGCCCAATTTCTGTGTAAAACAAATTTCTTGCCAAACTTGTCTGAATTTTTAATTTATCTAAAGGGAAAAATATGTAGAATTGTACTGGCCTTTTTATCAAGTTACATTTTTGGCAAGTTGTTACAGTATAATGTGGCAAGCTGTTATGGTGTAATTACTTTTGATATTTTGGAAAAACGTTTACATGGAGAAGCCATTAGTCTGAGAAATGGCTAAGTACCTTCATAAGGATTTTTACCATCTATTTCAAACTTTTCTGACAATATATCTCTGTGTTAAACACTACTGACACTGAATACTGTTCTGGTCTAGGCACTAAGAACATTACCTGGTTTAAAGTAGTGTTTACAAATCTGTATTTAATCAATAGACAGGTACAGCTGCAGAAGATCCACTCTGATCAGTCAGTAAATAAAACTAGGGAGGAAGAATGATCTTGTGTGTATTACTCCGCAACGTTACTCAGAACAATACTATTCATTTTAAAACAGCCTAAATAAATAGTTACATAAGAGAGTGGAACAGCTCCAAAAACCTCCATTCTAACCCCCAACTAAATATACAGTTTATACTATTCCACAAACCATCCTTAAAAAAAAAATGCAGTCTGGAAGAAATAAATATAAAATCATTCTGTTTAAACACCATTAAAGTTGTAACCCAAATCCACAAAAGGCAGGAAATTGACAGTAAAGGCTTGAAGGAATTGGCAGTCAATTCACTGACCCTCCTTTATGCTGTTCTGCATTTTTTGCTTTTTCCCCCCCCACAGTGATAGAGAATGGTGCATCTGCCTCATCTAGAGTTTCCTGCCTGTAGTCAGCTACTGAGACAACATGAACTGCCTGGAAACCTTGTCTTCTGTATTAACTATAAAAATAGGATTTTATTCCAGATCTGGACACCCAGCTGAATATTAGCACTTTCCCCACCACTACCACCCAGAGCTGTTTGGGTTCACTCCAACTTTTGATAAACGACCCTGTTCAGAGATGCTTGGAAGCAGAAACAGCATGAATGAGGGATTTAACTTGGTGTTTGAATGTTTACCAACTATCGGCCTGCTCCAAAGCCCATCAAAGTCAGTGGGAGTCTTGGGGTTTAGGTCAGACTTTAGGGTATGTCTAAAAAACCTGCAGCATCGAGTCTCAGAGGCTGGGTCAGCTGACTCGGGCTTGTGGGGCTCGGGCTGTGGGGCTAAACATTGCAGTGTAAACATTCAGACTTCAGCTGGAGCCCAGGCTCTGAGACTCAATACTGCAGGGTCCTTTGCAGGGTCTCAGAACTGTTAGAGCACAGTAGGCCTGATTCACCACTGTCATGGGCTATATGTAATTATTTACAGCTGGGAAAAATATGTGTAGAACACTACCCGATCAGAATGGTAGCATTTTGCACTCACTTGGCAAATGACTATGCAAGGTGCAAGGCAGTGAAGAATCAGGCCCAATAGGTTTAGACCAGGGATGGGCAAACTACGGGCCGGAGCCGTTTTAAGCCGGCCCGTGAACTCCCGCTGGGGAGCGGGGTCTGGGGCTTGCCCTGCTCCGGTGCTCGAGCCACGCAGCTCGGTCTCGCTACGGCTGGGGTGCTGGATCGGGGGCCGCTCCACACAGCTCCTGGAAGCTGCGGCATGGCCCCACTCCGGCTTCTAAGTGCTCCAATGGGAGCTGCAGGGGCGGTGCCTGTGGATGGGGCAGCGTGCAGAGCTGCCTGGCCGCGCCTGGCTCCATGTAGGAGCTGGAGAAGGGACATGCCACTGCTTCCAGCAGCCGCTTGAGGTAAGCGCCACTCGGAGCCTGCACCCCTGAGCCTCTCCCCACACTCCTGCCCCAGCCCTGATCCCCCTCCCACTCTCCAAACCCCTCAACCCCAGCCCAGAGCACCCCCATGCACCCCAAACCTCTCATCCGCAGCCCCACCCCAGAGCCCGCACCCCCAGCGAGAACCTGCAGCTCTTCCCGCACCCCTGCCCCAGCCCTGAGTCCCCCTCCCGCCTTCCAAACCCCTTGGTCCCAGCCCAGAGCACCCTCCTACACCCCAAACTCCTCATCCACAGCCCCACCCCAGAGCCCGCACTCCCAACCAGAGCCCTCACCCCTTCCCGCACCCCAACCCCAATTTTGTGAGCATTCATGGCCCGCCATACAATTTCTATTCCCTGATGTGGCCCTCAGGCCCACCCCTGGTTTAGACTAATGGCACAATATTCTTCTCTAAAATTTGTGGTGGCACAAAGATAAATGATGAAATAACATTGTGAAGCCATTTTGCCAACACTAGCCATTTTCAGATATGACAATAAACAGGAAAGAATTGGTTCACCCTTGTCAAAAAAAGTGTTTTATCATTCATTATTTGGGAAAAGGCATATTCAAAATATTTATAATACTTATAAAAAGTCGTCAAAACATGGAATCAGAAGATCTTCAGAGAACTGACTTCAGCTGACATGTCTATTCGTTCCTGGAACCATGTCAGTGTTCAGACTCCTGACGGAAGCTGGCTTGTTCTACTACTGGAGAGAAGACTTGGAAATATCTGTCAATCTACAGCGGGCCTTATGACTGGAGTTCAGCATAGCTGAATGCAATAGCCTGGCTTTATCAGAAGTATTGATGATGTTGAAAGGCTGCAAATTAGCACAAGATAGCAAATTACCAAGTAGCAACTAATGTTAATATACGGGAATGGGACCATCTAAACTCCAGACTGTATCACGTAAACCAATATAGGAAGGAAGCCAAATTAATTTCCACAGACTCAGAAGAGAGAATTTATATTGTCTAAGATGGTTCTGTTCTTCCAAGTACTTCTACTCTGTTTACTGATATTTAACTAGAAAATAATGTTCTAATTTTTTAAGTTCTGTATGAATAATTCATGGGGTGTGTAACAAAATTGTGGAATCACAAAATGCTCCACTGAGAGGAAACGGAATAATATTATTGTACTGAAACCTTTTATGTTATAAAAATAAAAGCCAGCTTTTCAAGAGTGTTTCAATTAAAATAAGTGTCATTAGTTCCCTTTTCTATAATTTAAAAGGGAGTTGAACTTACCCAGATGACTGGAGATGCACAAGGTTCATGCTATGGCATTTTGCTTATGTATCATATAACTGTTGTTATATTATGAACAGGATCAGTAGAAAATTGCAGATTTCCCCTTAACTTCCTCTCTTCTCCCAGGCCAGCATATGTTGCTTTTATCAAATAAAATATAGACAGAAAGTTAATTGTATTTAAACTTCTGTGTGTTCATTTATTAAACACAGTGGAGTCATATTGGTTACTTTAATGAGGCCTTCCTCAGATTTCAAAAGATCACTGTATCAGACATAAGCACATCACTTCTGGGCAATGTTGATCAATAGAGCAAATATAAAATAAACACAGCCCTAAATACAAGAGATGTCTTTTATTTTAGACTCAGATTTACCTCTACAAACAGGTCTTATTTCTCTTTTCTTATTGCAAATTATTTATCCCAGTAAAGCTAAATGATTAACAGAGGATATGAAAAATTCTACATACATGAATCCAACTTAATTTTGTCTCCTGTATTAGAATCATAGAAACGTAGGGCTGGAAGGGGCCTTGAGAGGTCATCAGGTCCAGCCCCCTGTGTTGAGACAGGCCCAAGTAAACCTAGACCATCCCTGACAGGTGTTTGTCTAACCTGTTCTGAAAAACCTCCAATGATGGGGATTCCACAAACTCCCTTACAAGTCTATTCCAGTGCTTACCTATCCTTACAGTTAGAATTTGTTCCTATTATCTAAACTAAATCACACTTTCTGTAAATTAACCCCATTATTTCTTGTCCTGCTTTCAGTGGATTTGGAGAATAACTGATCACTGTCCCCTTTATAACAGCCATTAACATATCTGCAGTGGTTCCCTCCCCCGTTTCTTTTCTCAAGACTGAGCATGCCCAGGTTTTTTAACCTTTCCTCATAGGTCAGGTTTTCTAAATCTTTTACCATTTTTGTTGCTCTCTTCTGAAGGCTCACCAGTTTGTCCCAAACTGTGGTGTCCAGAACTGGACACAATACTTTAGCTGGGGCCTCACCATTGCTGAGTAGAGCGGGACAATTACCTGCCATGTCTTACAGATGACACTCCTGTTAATGCACACCAGAGTGATATTAGCCTTTTTTTGCAGCTGCATCACATTGTCCACTCATATTCAGTTTGTGTGCCACCATAAACCCCAGATCCTTTCCAGCAGTACTACCACCTAGGCAGTTACTCCACATTTTGTAGCTACGTGTTTGATGTTTTCCTTCCTAAGAGTAGTATTTATCCCAGTAAAGCTAAATGACTAACAGAGGATATGAAAAATTCTACATACATGAATCCAACTTAATTTTGTCTCCTGTATTAGAATCATAGAAATGTAGGGCTGGAAGGGACCTTAAGAGGTCTATATTGTTTATATTGAATTTCATCTTATTGCTTTCAGACCAATTTTCAAATTTGTCAAGCTCATTTTAAAATCTAATCCTGTCTGCCAGAGTGCTTGCAGCCCCTCTGAGCTTGGTGTTATCTGCAGATTTTATAAGCCTTTTATAAACATAATCTTTACTCCATTGTCTAGATCATTAATGAAAATATTGAATAGTACTGGACCTAGAATAGACCCCATGCAGGCCTCCCACTAGATGCATACCTCCAGTTTGACAATGAACCATTCATAACTACTCTTTCAGTACAGTCTTTCAACTGGTTTTGCACCCACTTTACAGTAATTTCAGCTAATCTTTTTTTAAGTCCGTTGTCCTTATTCTGCTGCGCTCACTCCTTCCTTGCCTTAGAATCATGA